AACTGTTTAATGATATGACTCCTCTAGAAATAGAAAGTTACTCTGCAAATAGTACTCTAGATAATGAGGTAAATTTTATATAACTTTATGTGTTTTATAATTAATTTATAATTTTATAATAATTATATAGATCACAAAATATCATATGCGTATCCACAAACGTCAAGAGGATCTTAAGAATCAGTTGTTATATCAAAAACTTTTAGAAAAATGTCTAAATTATCGTTTTCAACAAAAATATAATTTGTCGTTAAGAACCAGTATCGAGTATTGTGAAAATTTCGAAAGGACTAATAAATTTGGTAGGTACAGTTAATTTTGAAATCTAAATTAGATACAGTAAATATTTTTTAAATCTTCTAATTAATTTAGATGCTTTGGATATTACGTTTGGCACTATATTAATAACAATTATAATTCTTAATATAATATCGTCTCTATACGATTATCGTTTAAAACTGCAGCATGCAACCATAAACGGTAATAATGATTTTTACAAAAACAAAATACCAGAACCAGGTAATTATTTTAAACAATTTTAAACTTAATTTTATGAACCTCAATATTAATATATATTTTATAATTTTAAAGCCTATTATCAACTACTAACATCCTTTTCAATATGTCGCAATTACTTTCGCATAATTGCTGCTGCCCCGCCCACAAAAAAACACCATTACGATCTAAATTTTACTTATGCATTTCGTGTCTTTGCCTTATTTATAGTTATTTTGGGTCACTGTATAATGCTGATTATGGCTGTACAAATAGAAAATCCTGAATTTATAGAAAATTATTATTATAAAGCCGAAACGATGCTATTTCAAAATGGTTCTGCCATAATACAAATATTTTTTGTATTAGCAGGTTTTCTATTAAAGCTAAACTTTGATGAAAAGCGCTTGATCAGCAAGGATTCAAGTTTGAAAATGAGTTTATTTGTATATATACAATGTTTTTTTAATCGTTATTTAAGGTAGATGTATTATAAAATGTTTGATATTAATATGTTTTTTAATATTTTAGGTTATTGCCATCTTTACTAATGGTTATACTATTTAATGCTACATTTTTAATACACTTGGAAGATGGTCCATTTTGGCGTCACACTTCTGAGTCAGAGTATACATTTTGTCGAGAATATTGGTGGAAAAACGTCTTTATGATCAATAATCATATGCTAGAAGACAGTGTAAGTAAGAAATATTTTGCTAACAGTTCTATAATCTAGTCTGTAGTCTAGTCTATACTCTAGACTAGTCCATAGTCTAGTCTGTCGTCTAGTATGTAGTCTAGTCTGTAGTTTTGTCTATAGTCTAATCTAAAGTCTAGCCTATAGCCTAGTCTGAAGAAGTATTGATAATTTTTCAAAAGATAAAATAATTAAAAAATATGCAATTAATTCTTTCGCTATAATTGTGAAAAATATTTAACATATAATGTATTTTCTAAATTTTAGTGTTCTCAACATACTTGGTTTTTAGCAGCCGATATGCAGTTATATGAATTGTTTCTATTTACAGTAATTCTAACTGCTAAGTAAGTATATCTCTAGAAAAATTCAATATTACATTGCGTTAAACGTGATTTTTACACCCATTATAAAATTATATATTTTCATTCCCTTTGTAACACATGTAAATATCTGGGATTCACAAAAGTGAAAATTTAATGGGTTCATACTAAGGTGATCGACTTGGATTTTCAACCGGTTTTAAAACCGTTTTTTTCTGTTATACCATTGTCGGTTTTTTCTAAATGTTGATTTTTCGAATATCGAATAACCCGGTTTTTTTACTTTTTAAAAACCGGTTTCGAATACTTTTAATTTGCTTTGTATTCAAAGATTACTTAAGTTAAATTTTGAAGTAAATAAAAATACAGCCCGTCTATATGTTAAAAATATTGGAGTCCAGGAACTAGAGTATATTTTTCTAATGCACCTTTGGTTAAACTTTTTGATTTTCCTAATTAATTAAAAATTTTTATTTGTAAATCTTAAGATTATATATCAATTACAACAATTTTCCTTATGTTCAACAGAAGTGTTCCACTTTTTTCCATTTTTTTACATTAAAGAAATAAAGTAAATCAGACGACTAGATATAAAGTTATAATCTTTTAAACTGTTAAAAAACAGTTAGGTAATGTTTTATTAATTAAATTTAAACATAAACGTCTATTTTTTCAAATTAAAATAGATTTTGTTATTTATAATGAAAAACCGATTAACCGGTTTTTTCTGGATTTGAAAAATGTCAACCGGGTTTTCTCAAATGTCAACTATTCGAAAACCGGGTTTTGAAAAATGTCGAATAATCGATCACCCTAGTTCATACCTATAAATTCCAAAAAATGCCCGTCCGTCAGTATGTTAAATAATAAATTCTGAATGTTGGACCTTCAGTCATATTCCTTTAAATTTAGAACAGATATTTTTTAATGTTGGGTAGTTAATTCATTTAATTTGTTGCTTTTAATTTAATTTTTGATTATTAATTCATTTCATTTTTTGCTTTTAACAGATTTGAAGTCTTGAGAAAACCTCTTTATGTATTATTTTGGATATTAGCATTTTTAGTGCCAGGATTATTAACATATTTCTATAAATTGGAGGCAATACATTTCCTAAAGCCAGAGTAAGTTGCAAATTTTTTAATATTTTTAATCAAACTTAAGTTCGGAGTTCTTTTTAAACAAACGTACTTTTTTAATTCCAGAACTTTTCGTTATTTGTACTTTAAAGATACCGATACATTTTATTTAACATATCCACAATTTTACTGTAATATGGGTGGTTATTTGGTGGGCTTCATGTGTGCTGAAATCTATTTAAAAGTATTACTACCACAAAAACATAAACTCTCCAAATATCGAGGTTTTATGAAATTTGAAATAATTCTATTATTTGTAATTTTTCTAACTGGCATCGGACTTCTTTTCTCCGGTAACTTGGTATTGCAGAATAATTCGGAAAAACCTTCAGTGTGGTTGAGCTTATATGCCAGTTTATATCGTAATATGTGGGCAATTTTTGGCGGTTTTATTTTATTGTGTATGTTATTGAAAATGGGATGTGAGTTTATTGAGCAAATTTATTAATTTGGAAATTAACTAAAATTATATATTTTTTATTTTTAATTTAAGGGATTGCCTACGAAATCGCTTGTTTACCTATATTTCGTATATTGGGTCGAATATCTTTTCAATCCTATTTGTGGCATGTTACTGTCTTAAGATTTTTAGGGGGATTTTATCGCCAACCTATATATCTGAATGAATTTTATGTGGTAAGTTGTCAAATAACATCTATAAAATGATATAAGATGGCCTTATATTTATGATAACAGTTTTGACTTAAATATGGGAAAGTCTTAGCTCCATCATATGACGATATATTTTTACTCTTTACAGGTGGGTCAAATAATATTGGCCTTTATATTAACAAATTTTGTTGCATTTTTTGTGGCCCTATTTGTAGAATATCCAATCACCGGAATTATTCACTATATGTTGAAAATGGGTTGGTATAATAAGTATTTTTATTTTATTAATTAACTTCTTTAGTTAATGTATTTTTTTAGAAATACCGAAAAATCAAAATGGTGAAAGTGGCAACGAAATGAAACCACATTTAGCTCAAATTCATGTGTAAATAAAGAAAATTATGAAAATATAATAAATGCCAAAAATATCCAATAACGAGTTAGTGATTGCTTAATTATTTTTATCTATCTATCTATCTATCTATCTATCTATCTATCTATCTATCTATCTATCTATCTATCTATCTATCTATCTATCTATCTATCTATCTATCTATCTATCTATCTATCTATCTATCTATCTATCTATCTATCTATCTATCTATCTATCTATCTATCTATCTATCTATCTATCTATCTATCTATCTATCTATCTATCTATCTATCTATCTATCTATCTATCTATCTATCTATCTATCTATCTATCTATCTATCTATCTATCTATCTATCTATCTATCTATCTATCTATCTATCTATCTATCTATCTATCTATCTATCTATCTATCTATCTATCTATCCTTAGTTTGTTAGAATTTATATCCACATTTTAAATAACAACTGTAAATGACATACCGTCGCCATAATTAAAGTTGACGGCGTTATTAAATTTCATTTTAAGCGGCATAGAAGAAATTTAAACAGAGTGTTTCAAAAACTTTGTAAATAATTCTGAAGAACTAAAAACTTTAATTTTCAATAAAAAATCAATTGTATATTAAACTTAAAAATCACATCAATATTCCACAAATTTTACAATCAAAATACTGATTTAAAATTTCAAAATTTATGCTCCTACCTCACTTGAAACCCTAAATTCAGTTTGAGTTGTGTACTAGGCTTGCATCTCAATAAAAACGCTACATTGTTATCACTGAAAATGGCCACGTTTTCAGTTATACACGAAATGTCAAACTTTGTTGACGTTGACATTTAAGAGCATTTAATACTTGGACGTCGGTAATATCGGTTGTGTGCGGCATTTGTTATTGCATTTTTAGCAGAAAAGATAAAAAAGAAGAATTTTTCACATCATAAAATACTTTTTAAACAATATAACAAGTTTTTCAAATTTAATTAAAAAACAGTGCAAGTTCTTGACAAATTATCTTAGTTGTGTGTGGTAACAAATTTAAGGAATTTATAATAAATTAACAAGTGTAAAATCAAGAAAATAAAATTAATGAAAAAAATTCAGGTCGAACGACTACGACGACGTTGCAGAGCAGACAGAAAGAATAACCAAATAAGAGCAGCGAATGAAGGCGACAAGCAAGACAAATAAGACCATAAAAAGAAAACGCAAAAAGAACAAATCACATTTTTTATTTAAGAAATTTTATAAATTAATTAAAGACTTTTTAGTTTTTATTATTATTATATAATTTATACTTAAGTCCAGAGTGACAATAAGGAATTTAGTTTTTAGAGGTTTTAACGAAAAAAGATTATTCTGC